GAAAATACAATAAGGGAACACATATAAAAACACTTAGCACAGTAGTACATGGTAATGGCTAAATCAATGCTAGCTGTTATTTGTAGTAGTTTAGTATTAGTGTGTGTAGTGAAGAAAAATACTGAACTGGTAATCAGGGAAACTGAGTCCTATAACTGTGCTACTCAACAAACAACTGTTTAGTTGACTAACCTTCAGATTGTGAAACTGCTCTATGACTGGATGTCCTCATTTGTAAAAAGAAATGGGGGAGTTGTGATAATCTCTAAGTTCCCTTCCAGTTCGAAAAATGTCTAACTCTATGATGAGTTTGGTTTCAAGCCTCATCGATTGAGAGGAAGATAATACTATTGACTGAAATAAAAATGTCAAAACAACCAATTGGAAATGTCTAGGTGTTGTAGAGAATATGCAGTTAAGGTGCACAGATTATCAATATTTATTATGTTATAATTGTCCTAAAGTACCACATGATCGTATTATCAAATAACAATTTAAGTAGCCAGTTATTCAAGTAAAACATATATAAATATTAAATAACTATCCACAGCTCATTTCTTTGAGCTTTTCTTGAAGGATTATCAGTTTGTGGCTGTAATGGCACATTTATGTCTTGTTTAGTGTGGTCCATTCTACTTGAAAACAAAAATCTCTGCCAATGCAGAAAGCCAAAACACCTGACAATAAGAACCTAAGCAACTGTGAACCCAAAAGTATCTGAGACAGGTTGCAATCAATTCAGAAAGTTTATTTTGCAAATATTTTGCTAAGGTTGAGGATGCACCCATGACATAGCCTCAGGAGGTTCTGATGACATGTGCCCAAGTTGGCCAGCTTACACCTTGCTTTTATACATTTTAGGCAGACATAATACATGGAGGTGGGCCTTCCAGGCCACAGGTAGATTTAAAAATCTTCTGATTAACAATTGGTTGAAAGAGTTATTATCAATAGAAAGAAATGTGTGAATTACAATAAGGGGTTGTGGAGATCATGCAGTTGAAGGGTCCAAGTAGCAGGCTTCAGAGAAAATAGATTGTAAATGTTTCTTATCAGACTTAAAGTGTGTCCGATCAGTAATTCCAAGAGGAGGGTATAATGAGGCATGTCCGACCCCTCCTTCCATCATGGACTCCACTAATTTTCAATCTATCTATTTTCCTACGGTTGGACATTTAGTCTTTATCGTTTTTTTCTTCCTACTTTTTTTTTCTATTCAAACCATGTCTCTTATACATGTGTCATGGAGTGCAGACACAATAACCCTTTTCATACCCTTGGCTGAGAGGAGGGGTCCATTCAGATGGTTGTGGGGGGCACAGGGGTTTACGATTTTATTTTTGGTTTACACAATTAATAAGATGTTGTTCATTAAGGAAAATAAATGTAATCATAAATGTATTCTAAACATAGTCTCCAATTTCCTAATCTTAAATTATTACCAACAAAAATGAAAAGCCATGTATACGTCCCTTGTAATGGGTTGAATTGTGTACCCCCTACAAAATATGTCCAAGTCTTTTTTTTTTTTTTTTTGAGTTATTCAAGTAAAACATATACCGTCTCAAAAAAATATATGCATATATGTATATATATGCATATATTTTTATTTTAATAGCTTTTGGGGTACAGGTGGGTTTTTTTTACATGGATGCATTGGATAGTGGTGAAGTCTGCGATTTCAGGGTTATCCAGGTAGTGTACATTGTACGCGATATGTAGTTTTTTCATCCCTCACCCCCCTCCCACCCTTCCCTTTCTGAGTCTCCAAAGTCCACTATACCCCTCTGGATGCCTTTGCGCAGCTATAGCTTAGCTCCCACTCATAGTTGAGAACGTGCGGTATTTGATTTTCTATTCTCAAAACCAGGAGTGGGTGTGAAGTAACTTAGATGTCCAGTGAAGAGACTGATGAAGGGCAGTGACTCAGCTGGGGTTTTGAAGCGGGGGTTCCCTGAGTTCAACCAACAGAGGTGGAGGGCTGAACTGTAGCGTGGATTCCAGTCACCTAAAAAGAAGGAAAGGGGCCGGGGAACCCGGCTGCAGCAGGGCCTCCCGGGCAGGGGCCGGCAGCTCACAGCGCGCCCCGACCAGGCACTTACCAGCCCCAATGCCCCGACCACTCGGCCCACTGAGGCCGGCCCGAGCGGCTGCGCTGCCCCGGGGGAGCTGCTCCGGCCTCCGCGGCCCGGAGCGAGGCTGACGGTTGGGAGTCCGAGACAGGCTCGCTCCGGGGCGCCGTTCCCTTCCGGAAGCAGCTGGAGGGGCACGGGCAGCCCCCGCGTTCCCCAGTGAAGGACGCAGCCACGGAGCCCGAGGACTGAAACATTGTTTAGAGGGCCCCGGGCACTGAAGGGCGGCTTCCTGGAAATGGACATTTGGAGTGCGGTGCCAGGGGCTTGGGAGGATTCCCGCGTATTCGTGGAAATACGGAAATATATAACATAATGTTTTCCATGACCTTTACAATTTCTGAAGTTACTTAGTGTTTTCCTGGAGAACCTAAGAAATGTTTCCTGGTGAGTCAGTGTGTTCAGAAACCTGTGACTGATGAGAGAGAAAGATTCTGGGAGAAAACTGACTTCTCTCCCAAGTCCTCCTCCTCCCCTCTCCAGTACGTTTCTGCTTTTGCTGTAACTGCCGGACATGATGTGAGCGGTTCGTTTTTAGTTGGGTGTGTTAACCAAAGAAAAAAAAATGTAGTCATTTAAATAGTTAAAATTAGTTGTATTCAGATGTCTTACTGAGGACTGCAATTCGGGAGAGTCAGAGACCTGTGAGACTGCTCCAAAGCTTAGGTGGCATGTGATGGGAAGTGGCATCAGATGTGCTCAGCAGTTGCATCAACTGAACTCAGCAGTTACATTTGAGCAAAATCTCATCAAGGGTGGGGTCCAAGGGTACATCTGGTTATAGATTATAAAGGCATAATCATTAATCCTATCAGTTATTATCCTATTATGTACAGGAAGAGGCATGAGTTAGGATCCTTGAACTTTTGCAAGAACAGATTCATGCAAGAGATGTCATCATCTTCAGCGGCATTCTTCCAGGGGCTGCACTTAGTCACTGAGTTAAGGGATTTGTGAAATTTGACTGCCAAAGATTCTCTGACATTCTGCTGGCAAGCAGAATGAGCAAATATAGCTTCTTACATAAACTATTTTGTCTCACAGGTGTGAAAGTCAGTCTTTGAATGTTGAGCAGATCAATGTGAAATGAGGACTGAAAGGTCTGTCAACTAAAAAAAAACAACAATTAATATAAAAAATCACAAATTACATAAACCATAGTCCATTCATATTAATAGACATTACTCAGTGATTATACAATATAAGCTTATGGGGGCAAGGGATTCCTGCATATCCCTGCTGAGTATGCCAAAATGCAAGACCTACCTGCCCTCTAACTCTGAGCCACTTCCTTCACTGATCTGTAAGCAACTAAGTAGGCTACAGCAATCAAGGCATGAGAAGGCACAATTGCTCACTTCCCAGGGGAAAGGGACTAGCTTGTTTGCTGCTCCATACGAAAGATGCTGAGCACTTAGCCCCAGATTCTTTACCTGCCTCCCAGTTCACTGCCTGCATCTGGACCCATGGGGTTGCCCAGTGGGACTTGGGTTTGGGGGAACTGGCCTCCCATATGATACTCCTGCCATTTGTTGGCCTACGGGTAATAAGTGCTCTCCCTCTTGTCCATCGAATCTCATTGTGTACTTTTCGCACTGATGGAGCTGGGGCAGGTTTTATACTTGCCATCTTTTCCTGTCTCTATTCTCTCTCTCTAGTCTCATATGGTAAGAAACAAAACAGAATAGCATATTCCTTAATAAAGAGCCTTAAATATATTCATTCATATGCTTTAACCTGCAAATGCCTCTTTTGAAAATACATTCCTAAGAAATAATACTAAATATGGACAGAGCTTTGGTTTTATAGATGCTTTGCTGTATTAGGTTTGTAGCACTGTGATCCATGCAATAGTTTCATTAACTCTGGCAGAAAACTAGCTTCATGGAATACTGCCAAATGATAGCACTCCTGAGAATGCCTGAGATATAGGAAAACTGTACCTTCCGCAGAGTTCTCTTGAGGCTTAACAGAAAGTAAACCCCATGCAGCACTTATATAAGACATTAAGTGCCCACGATCCTGAGTATTTAGTATCCCTGAAAATACAATAAGGGAACACATATAAAAACACTTAGCACAGTAGTACATGGTAATGGCTAAATCAATGCTAGCTGTTATTTGTAGTAGTTTAGTATTAGTGTGTGTAGTGAAGAAAAATACTGAACTGGTAATCAGGGAAACTGAGTCCTATAACTGTGCTACTCAACAAACAACTGTTTAGTTGACTAACCTTCAGATTGTGAAACTGCTCTATGACTGGATGTCCTCATTTGTAAAAAGAAATGGGGGAGTTGTGATAATCTCTAAGTTCCCTTCCAGTTCGAAAAATGTCTAACTCTATGATGAGTTTGGTTTCAAGCCTCATCGATTGAGAGGAAGATAATACTATTGACTGAAATAAAAATGTCAAAACAACCAATTGGAAA